ATCGTTAACCCCCAGAAAAGGGGAAAGAGGGGGGGGGGGGGGGGGGAGGTTGAGTCCCCGCCGTCTATTGATAGCTTTAACGGGAAAACGGGGGGACTGTTAAATATGGGGCTGCCTCGATCAGAACAAGTACAAGTAAGGAAAACGGAGTGAAAATGATAGTTGTCTTTTTTGGGATTGACAGCAGGGGGCGCCAGCGGCCTTTTTCGGAAAATTTGGAGGACGGTGAAACAAATACAAAAAAAATTCTCCGTCCTTTATGGTTTTTTGGTCTCCAATGATGTATGACTTTTAGGAAAGGTTAAGGGGAATTGCGGAGGACGTGCCTAAGCTTCAAACCTCTGAAGAGTTTGGCCGACGGCAATTTGTTCCTGGCAAGCGTCGAGTTGGCCGATGAACAAGGAACGCCACACCAGTGTTGTTCATACGGGCTTCCGAGAAGTATACGTACACGTGACATGAGCGCGCACAACCGGGTACGGCTAGTTTTAAATGAACGGCCACGGTGTTTTTTTTTTTTTTTTTTTAACAACTATTTTGACATTGCACTTCGTTTAAAACGCTAAAGCATCGTATGGGGAGCAACAGTCCCGCTGTGGTCGCTGACAGGATGAGAGTGGCAGGGAGGCCTTTCAATTGTCCCCTTTCTATCGCGAGCTTCATAGCTTCGATTAAAGCTTTGATGACTCTTCGGCGTTTCGCGAACTTCAAGTGCGCACGCTCATAGCTTCCTATATACTGACAAAGCCTGGCAGATCGCCAGGAGAAGCGGGCGCCGAAATGGAAAAGGTGGAGGGGCAGACAACGGATGAGAGGGGAGCCACGTGATTGGCGCCCCGCTGCGGCGAGACGCCGAAATACACTTCTCCCGAGCGAACAAGTGTGTTTTCGGGTCCTCGCCGCTGCAAAAAGCTGTGCGCTGATGTCGAGGTTTCCCGAGAAATCGCTATTTGATGCTCTGTGCTGCCAGATCCTCGCGCTCTAAATCTGCGACCGGGCACACTATGGCTCCGTCGTCGAACTGCCAGGCTTTGTAAGTATGGAGGAGGCTATGGCACGCTCATTCAAAGCACCACGGAGGGCAGGGAGCGCGTGCTGGAAGCCGGGCATCGGAAAGAGACGTCCTACAGTTTTCATCATGTCATTGAGATGTAGTACACCGCATTATTTGAAGACAGAAATTGATACTACAGAAAGACAAGAAGAAAACTTATTCCAGTGATTGTGGAGATCACGAGCTGGTATAAGTTTTCCATTTAGTTTGAGTGTTTCAGGTTACTTTATTGTACCAATTGTCCGGATGTCACGGTTTGGCCGGAGACGCTGCGAATGCAATACAGGCGAGGCCGAAAACGAATAATTTACACACCATGTCTTAACAAAAGGGAGACGAAGATATAACGGAAAGCAAAGGAGGTATATACGCAGTAAAAGGGAAAGTAATACACACACGCTTAAGCACATCTACAGTTCCAAGAAATGAAGCTGTTCGGAGCAGGCCTTCCAGTTTGAGTTCGTTGCGTCGACGAACCGAAGCGACTTGCCCAAGGCAGCGAAGGCCCTTGTCTCCTAGGCATCTGAAGGGGAGTGTGGAACTCTCGCCGCGACAGCTTGTGCACAACAAGAATCGGGCGCGTCCTACACTAAAAAAAAAAAAATGGGGGGGGGGGGGGGGGGGGTCTAGACGTTACACCTCTTGTCACAAATACCACGGCCGGACTGGAAGCGCGCGCTCTCTTTCTCTTCTTGCGGCCTCTGCAATCGCCCGGGAGTCAATGGCATTTTTTCTCAGTATGTAGTTCACTTGTTTGCCGCCAGGGGCGCAACCACCCCACCCCACTTCACACCACTCGGAGGGTCCCTTGGAGCTGCTTTGCGCTGGTGTTCGAGCTTCGCAGGTGGTTGTTTTGGCACCGGTTTATTGAACTTTGCTTCGATTTAAGTCACTCTACCGATAGGCAGTGTCGTCAGCAAACTGCATTCCCCTGTGACGAAAAATCAGCTGGATATGTGCACAAGCCCTCAAGGAAGCACTTTAGGCTGTAATATGCACTGTGCGAAAATTGTATAGACTACTACACCCTCGTCTAGAGCAGCTGATCGACTACATGTGCGGCCTATGAAATGATAATGCAGACCACGGCAATAGATAGATTGGGCCTGCTTCTTACATGTCACGAGAGTGTACGAATTGTTTATCATTTAAAGTTCCTATCCGTAGAAGGGGGTCCGTCTCCTCCTGTTCTTGAGTTGCAACAGAAGTCCTGGAGGTAAAAACGAGTATAGTTTTCCCGCAATTGCATTCGCTGTCTCTACTTACTTCTTTTTACAGCCGAATCTCTCAGAGACGTGAGTCTAATATTCACCGTTTTGGGCTCATCAGAAGCGCATTAGAGAGGGGCTGAGGGTTTAAACGTAAGGATCAGGTGTCAAAGGCTATAAAATCTCGGCCGCAAGTTGCGACAGCACTGAGATACACTGTCAGACGCGCTCTGTGCAAACGGCAAAGGGTACGCCAGAGGTGAGGTGACAGCGTCCCCGCGAATTGCGGCGGGAGGTGGCGATTGCCCCAATTGCAAAGGCCGTAAGAAGAGAAAGAGTGCGCGCTCTTCCTGTCCGGCCGTGCATACATGATATACGACGCCCCAAAACTTCAGATCGACGTACAGCGCGCTGACGTTAAACTGACTGCCCCAATTTTTGCGAGTGTTGACGACGGTGCGGCGTAACATGTTAAACAGCTAAAGTACGCATCAAAGTCAACAGAAAAAAAAAACACACACACACACAGGTTTTGCAGTTGAGCCTGGAAAACCCCGATAACTTTTTTTTTTTCAGTCAGTCACACTTACATTGACTCTTTTAATGAGTTGTACCACTCGACTATCAAGCCGCTCATGAAATCGGGTCGCGTCGGCACAACGTCAGTACGCTGTACATCCAACTGAAGTTTTGGGGTGTCGTATATGTGACAAGGGGTGTAAGGGCTACACCCCCTTTTTTTAGAATGTAGAGCGTAGCCATGGACCCCATCGGCCGCTTCCTCCCGGTCTCAGTCTTCTATTATCCCTGCTTCGCCATTCTTTGTCTTTTTTCTCTTCTAACATCGTTGTCTCACGTGGCATCATCTTCTTCCTTTTTGCCCCTTCAACTTTCTTTTATGTCATTTCTTAGAATCATGACACCGGGGCACTAAAACGCGTCTCATTCTAAAATAAATTTTTGCTCACATATTTTGTTTGTTTGCGTCATTGGTTGGAACGGCGAATCGCGTCCTTCTGGAATTTTAATTCTCCAGGCACAGCTAAATTAGAATTGTGTTTTGAAAAGTTCGTAATTAAAACGTGTTTTTTTTTTTATGTAGGGAAATATACACATAGTGTTTGAAGATTTATAAATACAGCTGGGTGTTTTCATTTCAAATCGGGCAGGCTAAAAATTTATAATTTTTAATTTTTACGAAAAGAAACAGTGTTTTGGGGGCATTTTCAAATGAAAGGTGGCACCAACCGCATGTTCCTCAGAGTTTTTTGTTCTCTAGTTACGAAGTGTAGAAGCCGCAGTGGCAGAAACAAGTATTTTTACCTGCCGTCGCAAGTCGCGTGTTTGACACCCCTTGCTGCCCCTAGTTTTTCTTTTGCCACCCCTTTAACATTTCTCCCTCATTTAATAGGCACCATAAACATATTTTGATGTATTTAAATATTTGTAGGAATTTTATTGTTTTCTAAAAAAAAAAAAAAAAAAAAATGTCAAACTCGTTACTCAGGTCGATTTTCGGTCAACTTTGAAAGGTCATTACTTTGTCTGTGCTGAAGGTAAATTTGCTTCTTTTATCTCTACAGAAAGCCCAATGCATGCCCATTATAGATATAATATTATCATCTAGAAATGTAATATTTTTGTTGTATGTCCTCTATTTGAGCCACAACCGCGTGAAGTGTGTGCTTATTTGACTAAAGTACAGCAACATTACCCGCATTGTGCGCCTCTACGATCTCGAAAATATATTTTTTTGTTTATGTTTTCAAAAAGGAACGTAAAGTAGCCGAACTTGTGATATTCATTGTAATTTAAAACTTGAAATAAGAGAGAAACCATATAAGCTCACTACAAAACAATGAGTAACAAGTATATACAAATCAAACGGCAACGCAACATGTAAAAAATTGTTTCTATATAGAACGGTTTAAAGTAAACGAGGGTGGCTACTCATTACCCAGCCTATTACGATTGAATGATACATTCTCACACCATTAATTCTTGTAAATAAATCTGGAATTTCTTTAGCGAGTTTCAAAAGTGGACAAAAAAATATTATTTTTCCTGCCGCGAATGAGTATCGCTGCACATATATGGTAACATTCGAACGCGTTTTTCTCTTCACGTATTTTGGAGCAACGTCACATTTTCGCGCACAAGAATTTTTGTATTGACTTTTGTCCTAGCACAACCAATTTCGGCATTCATATACTTTAGAATATCTAGAATGCGACCTCTGGGTTTGGTTAGAATGTATACTCCTTATATTTACATTAAAGTCTGTTGCCATTTCCCACGCGTCCGCAAGAACATGTCTATTTCTTCATGTGCATTGCATGCAGAACATAAAAAAACACTATATCAAATCTAACGCCCCATCTATAAACAGGACATCAAACACATGTTTCTGGAGAAAAGATGGAACAGGGCCAAAAAGTTGTTGCAATTTGTCAAGGTCCTGACGGCTTTCCATGAGCACAAACATGTGAAACGACCAGAGTCTTTACTATTTTCACGTTCCCATTAAGTTACAGGCAAACAACAAGCAGAATTTGATTTATTCCCAAAAATGGCACGCGTAAAGCCGAGAGCCGCTATCGAGACTGTCATCTCCTTACGTTTAAATTACCCGCCAGAATTGGCATACTGCATTTCATTCGTCACAGACTTACCAGATGGCGAAAGAGTCGGCGGCTTGCTCGCTTTGAAAGGTCTACAGTTGCGGTTTTCCCCCTCACTGGCGATTACTCGCCCGTGTCGCATTTGGTGCCGTACGATGTTAAGAGCCGTGACGTCGTCTGCTACTTTGGTTACAACCAACTCGTTCGTCGTCTGCTAAATCCAGTTCCACCTTTGCTGGCCCGTCAGGCATTCCCGTCAAAAGATCTGGGGATTTGAGTCTTCTCATCATGCCTCCGTGAGTTCTCTCTCATTTTGTACACATGAAGTAGATGCTTTGGCGTGTGATATGGAGCTGGAATGTGCAGAAGTTGCGTCTGCAAAAAGCTGTGCGCAGCAGACGCGGAGTTCCGGCGCGAACTCGCTACCGTGATGCGAAGCGTCGACTGCTGCGTCCTTCAGGAATCATGGATCCATCTGTTTGTTACAATACACGTAATAATATGTGTGTACCTGTACTACAGGACTGACTGCGACTCAAAACGTCGCGTGGAATGTGTCAGATTGCGTTGCCATTTTCAAAAGTGGGAATGTGACCTCACGAGTCACAACAAGAAATGTTGTGGAGGCGATTGGAGTGAAAACGCTCTCACATTCCTTCAGTGAAGATTAAGTGAAAAGTATAATGAAACATGTGAAGAAACCTGAAGACCAAGGACACAGACAATAACAGAGGGCAAGATGTGTATCTGTTGTCCCGTTTCTGTCATTACTCTCGAGATTTTGTTCGTTATATGTCTGAATTTCACCAATATGATTTGCTCATATATTGAAATGAATTTTGAAAATATATATTGACTAGCGTCTTTGAAACAGCCGTAAAACCTCTTAGAAAGACTTCTGTAAATGTGTAACTTGTGAATGGTATCTAAAAATGGGAAAGCTTTTCAAAAATCGAAAATATTCAATATCTGCGAGTTAAGAAAAAAAAAAAACTGGTCATTGACCTTGTTCTGTTCTATTAAAGTACTATTTATGTATTACGTATGACTGCTGAGTAGCTGTCATCGTAGCACACTTCTGTTTCTACATTAATAATCGAGCAAATAATCAGCGCTATATTGAAAATTTAAACGAAGGAAGGTAACAAAAACGGCTGCACAAATCTCTCCAAACTACTGCAAGTGTGAGCCTGTTTCGTCTCTTCCTAAATTTGTGATTCCTGCAAACTACAAACAATTGTCCTGACCTTGCTGCTTTTAGCGTACAAGACTGTGTCCTGGTTATCTTATCATAGCGCTCTTCTAAAACCCCATTCACCTTTGGTTCCACCGAGGAAGTAATACGCCAAGCAATTCTTATCACAGCGTTTCTCCTGCAACGTGCAAGCATCAAGGTTTTGTTCTCGCTGAGATTTTACAGGAGCCTATATGTACATTTTTTTAGAACTTCGTCTCGTACACCAATCTTGACAGCAACCTCTTTTTTTTCTTTCAATTTCCTATTTCCCTCGGTGTACAGTGAAACATTTCATTATCATTGAAACAATATCTGCACAATAAGGGTGGCAGATGGTGCACGTCCGATGCTGTGTATAAATTTCTTTCGTAGTTTCGAGCGTTTATCACTAAGACCAAAAATTGCGGAGTCACTGGTCTGAAAACAGCGTTCGCGCGGTACGATATTTCCAAGAAGAGAGCTATTGCGCGTTGTCGGAACGCGTATCGCAGCCCATTAATGAAAGATGTCAGCGCACAGAAGGGGATTGTTGGAACGGTCAATAGATATTATTCTCAAAATAGACAGCGCAAAATATCAAGGACAAGTAGATGGAAGTGTTTATAGACACCTCGCATGGAAGTCATATTAAGGTCAGTGTGAACATGTAAAAACGTATATAATGACAAGATGCTATACGATATGTGTGCCGAGGGTCTTTATACAATGTTAAAACTTGGCTTTCACGAGTAATACGTTTTCGTAAAAAAAAAATAAGAAAAAAACTGAAAACAAGGTATGTATAGGAAAGCTCAATTTTGATGCTTTCGAAACACGTGATTCTTGTTTCTAAGTAAATCAATATTGATCGTTTTCCTAAGAAACTTGGCCATAGCCGCTGACAGCATGGGACGTGTCTTAATATCTCGAAGCTTCTGACTTTGTGATTGGTCCTCCAGCGTCTTTACACTCTCACTAATATGGTGTCTGATGCTTACACCCCTTGTTTCTTATATAGTACCCCAGCAACTACAATTCGACGTTCAGTCTACTGACGTCCAACTGACAATACCAACTTTCACAAACGGCTTGATAGTCGAGAGATACAACTTAATAAAATAGCTAATGTACGGAATAAAGAATGCAATAAAGCACTCAAGGTTTTGTTGGCCCTGCTGCTAAACCTCAATGCTGTTTCTTTTTTTTTTTTCTTCTTTTTTTTGTCTGTAGTGGATACGTACACTATCTATTTAGTAAGTTATATATATATATATATATATATATATATATATATATATATATATATATATATATATATATATATATATATATATATATATATATATATATATACAGCTTTCAAGCCGCTCGTAAAAGTTGGTGTCGCCAGTTCAACGTCAGTGGACTGAACGTCGAAATGTAGCTTTGAGGTGCTTATGGGACGAGGGGTGTAAATACTACACCACTTTTTCCTGGGAGTGTATTGGCAAACGCCGCGAGCTCATTAGCTTCAGAGCTATCATAAGATATGCCCCGGACTATAATAAGATGCCCTGCGTATCTTAAGCTGTCATTAGGTATATTGTAAGTATTACGTATGGGAGCAAGCGGAAGTGTTGCTGCATTTGCGTTAGTGTTGCAAGCTTCACGTTGCGCATTCGCGTCGACGCCACGCGCTAATCCAAGACGCAGTTTGGGCTTAGCGCACGCGCAATTTGGAACACGCAACGCCAACTCAAAGCGCACAATTCTTGCGTTTGCTTGTCTACACGATACACCACTATAGTCCGTTGCAATTCAAGAAGGCAGAGCGAGGGAAAGGAAGGCCGGGGAGGAGGAAGCAGACGGAACGCTAAAGAGACGAGGAGGTTTCCCCCTCTCTTCTCCAGCGTTCCGTCTGCTTCCTCCACCCCGGCCTTCCTTTCCCACGCCCTACCTTCTTGAGTTGCCACGGACTATAGCGTCTAGGGTAATTTAGAGCTCGCGCTGAAAGCCTATCGCCAAGACTTAGGTGAAACCTCCACGAGGTGCACCTCAGTGACTCCTTTCGGAAGTCACTCGAAGACGTGTTACCGAGTGATTCTCCAGAGTAGTCCGCATCTGTAGTCACTCACTCAACCCAGCCAGTGTCCTATTAAGTTCACGCGTCTGGCTGCGTGCCCTTATCGCATCTTAACAAATGAGTCTCCTACCTGCAATGGGGCGTAGCTTTCGGCCTTTATGCAACATCCGCCTGCTTCGGGATTCCTTCCCGGGACCTTCCCAAGACTATAGCGATCGTTCTACCAACCTAGCTAATCATGAGCTGGCATTTGATAGAGCAAACTGATGTTAACAGTGGCCACCCGTCTTGATCGTAACCGACGCAATGATGGGATGAGTCGTAATGACTCGATATGAGGAGGGGAAGTTCCCAAGGAGGAGACGATTTACGTAAGAGTAAATGGCCTTCCACCTAACACGAAGCGCAACTCACCCCCTCGTTGACTGGGAGCAATAATAGGATGCTCGAAGCTATATAAGAGCCGAGTTTGATATTGTCCTTTAGGCGATAAGATGCTCGAAGATATATAAAAGCCGAGTTTGAGATTTTTTCTTTTAGGCGATAAGAACACTGCAGAACGAATTATAAGCATGAAGCATAAATATGAGAAACCACTCCCGGCGGTTCTGGAGCTGTCAGATACACGGGGCGTTAGATCCCAATTCTAAAATATTTATTATAGAAAAAAGTTATACGCGAAAGGTAGAATAATGTTGGTCGTGCAGGTGAGTTGTTCGGCCAGAGGGACATAATATAGGAGGTCGACCGTCTCCATAAGCAAATAATTAAGTGAAATGTGTTAATTAACTGTTTTTTTAAATGGGGAAAATAAACATACGGGTCCAATAAGAAACTTATACACCGTCATCTCAAAGCACTAAATCGGTAAATATCAGACAATATTTGAAGGCGGGCGGTTAGCGCTTAAGTTTTCCCTCGTGACGCTGATGGTCCAAAAACGTAGATCACATTATTCTACCTCTTGCTGCTGTTCTTATCCCTCCTTTTTTTTAATATAAATCAGTTCTAATTAAATGTGAACACTCTGTATAATCCTACTACGGCCCTTCGCCCGAGCTTTGCTCGATCCCGGGATAGCAGCCGGACGTTCAACTCGGTGTTGTCACACAAACGAAAAAAAAAATTAAAAGGACTTCCAAACGTCGAACAAACTGAAAGATGAAAACGACATAAATGAAGCATCCTGAGGAAGCCCTTTGGTCCCTGCACTACGCCTGCGCTTCAGGTCGCATACGCCCATTGTGTTCGTGCGCTTCCGCACGCCCACTTCCGTAGAAGGGTGCCGCAGGGGGGCATGTGCATTCCCCGACAACGGGATGCCGAAGGCGCATTCCGTGACGTCACAGTTACGTGCCGTCACGTCGCAACAACGTCACTGCGCTGCTCGTGGCAGGACGGATGCGCGACGACCGCGTATGTTGTTCATGTAAACACGAGAAAGTTGATGGCGCGAGGGGGGGAGGGGGAATTTTGTCTCGCATATCATTTGCACGTGTTTTTGCGCAACCGAAACCACTCGCTCGCGTCGGTAGCGTTGGCAGCTTTATATATGCTGAGTATGAAACGGAGTATAACGTGAAACCCGTGGTAGTTTCGTGCCCGGCTGATTTCTCGGCCGCCCCATACTGTATTTCGTTACCAAAAAGAAAAGAATACGACGAGCACCGGCAAGCTGTTTAGGTAGTTGCTTTATTTCATCTCGAATATATGGGGGGTTTTACTTAGAATCAAACAGTCGGGTACGTTCGGTTTTTTTTTTTTCGCACTTTTTTGCTGTTGTTGTTATGGTGCGTATCCTGCGAAAGACAACGCCTTATGCGACGACATGTTTATTTCTGAAGAAATAAAATAAAATTTTACGCCAATCTTGTTTGCAGAGGCCTGTTTGGGAACTTGTTTGGAATTTTAAGACTACTCATAATAAACATAAATTGAAATGTTTCTTTTCGATAAATTATACATAGATTCCCTGAAATATGTATAGAATATATTGTCGCTTATACTTCGGCACTGGG